CCAGCTTCATAATACAAATACTACTAAAACTAAGGTTGCTGTGAGCTGTAATGCCACAGCACTCTACCCAGGGGGACGAAACTCTGACACTAAACAAAAAAAAAAAAAAAAAAAAAAAAAAGAAAAATATGGGATTATATAAAATGCCTGAATATAAGAATGATAGTTACCCCGACAGAGAAAAAGAAGAAAATGATAAAGGGATCAATTAAACAAGAAGATATAACTATTTTATATATATAAAATAAAATTATATATATATATATAAATCATACATATGATTAGAGCTCCCAGCTTCATAATACAAATACTACTAAAACTAAGAAAAGAAATAAATAGGAATACATTAATTGTGGGAGATTTCAGTAGTCCACTGACAGAAATAGACAAATAACCAAGGTTAAAACTTAATAAAGGAACACTGGATTTAAAGAGAACTTCAGAACAAATGAATCCACAAAACCTTTACAGAACATTCTAGCCCCAAACTAGAGAATATACCTTTTTCTCATTAGCACATGGAAAATTTTCTAATATAGATCATATGTTAAGCCACAAAACAAGTCTCAACAAATAAGAAAGAAAAAAAAATCATATCAAGTGTTTTCTCAGGCCATAGTGAAATAATACTGGAAATCAATTCCAAGAGGAGCTCTCAAAACTATCCAAATACCCAGAAATTAAATAGCACACTTCCAAGTGAGCTTGGGGTCAACAAAGGAAGTTAAGTTGAAAATTAAAAACATTTTCAGGGTGGTGTCTGTGACTCAAAGGTAGGACACCAACCCCATATACTGGTGGTGGCAGGTTCAAGCCCAGCCCTGGTCAAAAACTGCAAAAAAAAAAAAAAGAAAGAAAGAAAGAAAAAGAAAATTAAAAACATTTTCAAAATGAATGATAATGATGACACAAGCAACCAAAATCTCTGGGATACAGTGAAAGCAGTCTGAACAGGGACTGTTCACAGCAGCCCTAAATACCGCTGCCAAAAAGACAGAAAGAAGACAAATTAACAACCTAACATCATACCGCAAGAAACGGGAAAAACAAGAACAAACTGAACCCAAAGCTAGTGGAAGGCAAAGTTCAGAGCAGAACTGAATGAAATTGAATTACGAAAACGACACAAAGGATCGGTGTAATGAAGAGTTAGTTCTTTGAGAAGACAAATACAATTGATAGACCACTGGCTAGATTAACGGGAGAAAGAAGAAGGATTTGATAAGCTCAATAATAAATGAAAAGGGAGACATTACAAATGATAGCAGAGAAGTACAAGAGATCATTGGAGACTATTATGAACACTTCTATGCATACAAAGTTGAAAATCTGAGAAAATAGATATATTCCTGGATATATGGGGGGTGCCAAAAATGTACACGCATTATAAGAGATGGTATCTGTGTATTTTATATTCTATTATGTATGCATTTTGAGCAAGGTGTCAAAGTAGTTGCAGAAGTCAGATGTGACTTGTATTTATCTTTTATTATCAGGATATATGGAGCATTACGATTTTAATACCTTTTTTCCTTTCTTAAAATGTGTATACATTTTTGGGCAGCTTCTATATATACAACTTACAAAGTTTGAATCAGAAAGAAATAGAAGTGCTGGACAGACTATTGATGAGAAGCAAGATTGACTCAGTAGTTAAAGATCTCCCAATTCAACAGATGGATTTACAGCTGAATTCTAACAAAGGTACAAAGAAAACTGGTAACCGGCCATAATCCTACTGAAACTATTTCAAAAGATGGAAAAGGAGGGAATCCTCCCGAACTTATGCTATGAAGCCAGTACTGAAGCCAGGAAGGGATACAACAAAAAAAGGAAACTGTATAGAAAATGTTATTGGTGAATATAAATTCAAAAATCCTCACCAAAATACTAATGAACTGAATCCAAAAGCACATCAAAAAAGCAAATTCACCATCATCTGGTGGGCAGAGATGCAAAGATGGTTCAACATTTGCTAATCAATAACTGTGATTTGCCACATACACAGAATTAAAAACAGAAACCTCATGATCATTTCAATAGATGCAGAAAAGACATTTGGCAAAATCCAACATCTCTTTATGATAAAAACCATCAACAAGGTAGACATTGAAAGAATAGATCTCAAAATAATAAAACCCATGTGGAGTAACAAACCCACAGCCAACATACCGAATGGTGAAGAGTTGAAAGCATTCCCCTCAGAACTGAAACTAGAGAAGGTCACCCACTCTTAGCACCTCTTTCAACATAGTACCAAAAGTCTAGCCAAAGCATCAGGCACAAGAAAGAAATAAGGGACATCCAATTTGGAAAAGAAGAAGGGAAACTATCACCGTTTGACTGCGATGTGGTTGTATACCTAGAAAACCCTAAAGGCTCCACCTAAAGTTTCAGCTTACACACTCACTATACACAAACCAGTCGCATTTTTATTCACAATAGCAGCCATGCTGGAAATAAGATCAAGAACTCAAGATCTGTACAAGTAGGAATTCAAAACACTATGCAGAGAAATCACAGATGACACAAACAAATGGAAGAGCATCCCATGCCCATCAATGGTGTTAAAATGTTCTTACTGCCCAACATAATCTACAGATTCGATGCAATTCCTATCAAATACTAATGTCTTTTTTTGCAGATTTAGAAAAAAATCCATCTTAAATTCATATGAAACCAAAACAGAGCATGAATAGCCAAACCAATCCTAAGCACAAAGAACAAATCTGGAGGCATCACATCTCCCAACTTCAAATTATATGACAAGGCTATGGTGACCAAAACAGCATGGCACTGATATGCAAGTAGTCCTATAGACCAGTAGAACAGAATGGAGAATGCAGAAGTAAAGCAGACACCTGGAATCAACTGGCCTTTGGCAAAGCAGACAGAAACATACACTGGGGAAAGGAGACACCGTCTTCAATAAATGGTACTGGGAAAATTGGATTGCCTCATGCAAGAGAATAACATGGGATCCGTATCCCTCATCACACACAAAAATTAACTCAAGGTGGATTAAGAAATTAAATATTAGATCTGAAAACATTAAAATATTAGCAGGAGATGTAGGAAAACTGTCCCTGGCATTGGCCTTGGTACAGAATTTGTGATTAGGACACCCCAAACGAGCAAAAATAACAAAAATAAATAAATAGGAATTAATTAAACTAAAAAGCTTCTGCCTGGCAAAAGAAATAATCAACAAAGTAAACAGACAACCTACAAAATAGGAGAAAATATTCACGTAGGTGTACCTCTGACAAAGGACTAACGTCCAGAATTATAAGGAACTCAAAATAAATTAGCAAAACAAACAAGTGACCCTGTTAAAAGCTGAGCAAAAGACAATAGCAGAAGTTTTTCAAAAGAAGAAAAACAAATGCCCAGCAAATATGAAAAAATGCTCAACAACTAATCCTCAGGGAAATGCAAATTAAAACTACAATTAGATCCCTGTCAGAATGTCAGGTCTGTATTAAAAAGTCAAAAACAATAGATGCTGGTGCAGATGCAGTAAAAAAGGGGACACTTAGACACTGCTGGTGGGAAAGTAAATTAGTGAAAACTCCAAGGAAAACAGTATGGAGATTTCTCACAGAACTAAAGTAAATCTACCCTTTGATCTCGCAGTCCCAGTACTAGGGATCTACGCAAAGGGAAGTGCATCATTTTATAAAAGGACCCCTGTGTTCATATGTTTACTGCAGCACAGTTCACAACTGTGTACATACGAAATCAACCTAGGTGCCTGTCAGCTGATAAATGGATAAAGTGTGATATACATGCTACGGAATATTGTGACCCATGAAAAAGAATGAAACAATGCACTTTGCAGCAACTTGGGTGGGACAGGAGCCCATCATCCTATGTGTGAAGTATCTCAGTTACAGAAAAATAAATAGCTCGTGTTCTCACTTAGAAGGGGGAGCTAAGCAATAGATGCGCGTGATCACACAGAGTGTGATGGTGGACATCAGAGACTGAGAGGAGGGGAGGTTGGGAG